ACTATGAACAGGCCGCATGAAGTTAACAAGTGTTTTCCCAATACACAGAGAAGCTCCTTTAATTTATTCCACATGCTTATTCAAAATTAAAATCAAAAATATTTCAACAGACTGTTTCACAACATATTTGAAAACTCAAGAAAGGAAATCTATTTACAAGAACAAGCCTTCGAACTCCTAGAACCCACAAGCAGAAATTAATAAAAAATTACTACATTTTTTTTAAAAATCATATTTATATCAACTAAATTGGAAATACGATTAAAAAAAAAATACACTTTAAGCCAATAGCCTTTTATGGGAGCGAATTGATCAATAATAAAAATAAAAAACAATTTAAGAATAGGTTCTAATATTAAATTATGAGTATACATTAATTTGTTCAAGTTTAATTGCAGTGGCTTAACTATGAAAGTATATATTTTAATAAATTAAAAACGCTTTCATCAGAATTAAATTTAACTAAAGAAATTATAATTGAGACAACATTAAATAATAATTTTTTTTTAAATCACACCATGACTATAGTTACTATAGTTTATTTAGTCATGAATCACACATCCATTCTGAAGTTTTATTTATTACTATGTATGTTATAACAGTAGTACCTATTGACAGTATTGTGTAATTCAAAACAAATAAAACAATTAGGTACCAAAGATTTTACGGATGAAATAAATGTCTATCTAAAATTTAGAAACCAAGAGTACATTTATTTTATAATATTTTGACAAATAGGAAAACATAATGTTTCCATAGAAATTTATTATAATTCCTTATTATCATAAACTGGTAATTCAAAAATAAATAATTGTGAACTACTTTTGAAATATATATTTATTTACAATATAATAATACATACATTTTCAACAGTATTATATAACTTATTATTATAATATTTAAATTATATAACAATATACACGAACATTTTAATAAATCGTTACAATTTATTAATTTTAATTTCAATCGTTCAAAATATTAGATGTAGTTGGATATTTTCTTTAATCTTTTGAAGAAACATAATAAAATATTATACAGAAATAATATTATAATATTTTGTTAAAATTGTGTGTAATAAATAATTATTTTTATTTTCGTATTATTGATTCTTACATTTACTTCACTTTATTAACTTATTCGGGCTATTCTCTATGAATTATTGGCAATGTTTCTTAAAGCAAAACATTATTATTTTACTTAAAAAAAATTAATTCATATTATGTATAAATCGTCCATTTCATCATGGCCCTCACTTCACAGATCATTGGTTTGAAAAATATTTTTAAAAATCAGTGATCCACTCGCAACGATATAATATGAAAATAACCAATTTTTACTCAATATAGTACTTAATAATTAGTAAATAATAAATACCATGGTTTAATACCCAATACATGTCATGTTAATTGGTTATAATAGATATTTTCTAAGTTGGAGAAAAATTTTTTTTAAATCACATTTCATATAAACATTTAAGTTGGTATTAAATTACAAATTACAATCGTTTTTTCAATACAATATAGTTTTTTGAATTGTGAATTCGCAACGGTCGCCTATGGCCAAGATGAACTGGACGAGCTATACATGTTTATTCAGTAGGGAAAATCAACTGCTATACAATAAATATTTCTATATTTTTATGTACACGAATATCCATTCGTTAATCATAAATTAGTTGATTGAATTATGTTTGATGAAATATATATAAATTGAACAATTAGATTCTTAACTTTACATAATAACTACTCACATTATTAAACATGGCATATGATATTTTAAACACTTCATCACTTGTTTCAAATGTATGGATGCAGAAGTTTAAATATATATATATATATAATCCACAATATATTTCTTAAGATATCACTTTCATCAATTAGAATGTAAATTAAACGTAACAATATAACTATTTTAAGACAAGTATTAAAAAAAAATTATTTTAGTTATGATTTATTGTACTTAATAATTTAATCTGTATTTGAGTTCCATTCAATTATAACACAGTACCTATGGTATTGTATACTATTTGAATATTAATAAATAGTAAATCTTACCAGCGTTTTGTTGTTCGTTAATATAAATTGCTTTGATAAAACCACATTTTGAAATTTGATAGTAATTAATAAGTGTGTCTTTAAAATTCTAACGATATATCAGGGTGATATGATAAAGATAATTAAATGAGAAAAAAATAAAAATATATAAATACGTCTATTCTTTTCATATAATTTTAACGGGAAGTTCCATAATACAAAGCCACATATAAATAAATAAAAATATTGCGTCCATAAGATAACGCATCTTTGTATTTTTCATTGTAAGAATTAGGGTAAGCATTTATTTTTTTGAATTTTAAAAATTACCATTAAAATTCAAAATGAATTGAAAATTTATACTTAAATAACAATATGAATTTCGATGTATTTTTAGAACCTATGTAATTATAGATAATGTTATTTACATAATAGTACACTAAATAATGTTGTAACAATAACAATACTATACAATAATTATATTATATCACAGATCAAAATATGGATCAATCATAATAATACGATCGAAATTAATAATTGAATATTCTATCTTAATATTATTATGTCTAGTACATAATTATAAAACCTAAGTCTAGTGTAGGTCGTCTTACATTCAACTTGTTTAGTGAATAAGAAACTACAAAATAAATTAACATGGGTACTAAAATAAAAAATAAAACACATAGGAAATAATAATATTAAATATAAAAAGAATAATATAAATTTATTGTAAGTTCTAAACTAAAATATGTTATAATAAATATTATATGACTAAAATATTGTTGAATTTGTTACAAGTATTGAAATTGCCTACACAATGCGCCGTCTCAACGCAGCTAAAGTGCAACGTACAATATTATAATAATATCTAAAAACGCATTAAAACGGATTAAAACCAAACATTATTGTAAAAGCGACATCGTTTTACCCTGATTTGAGCTTATTTTAATAATAAAATGTTATTATTTCTAGTAATCGTTTATTGAATCGAATAACAATTAGTAAATTATAATACATAATATAAAAAGCACTCCAAATACTTACGTACCTAGCCAGTAAGCAAATTACAAATTAATTGGATTTATTAAAAAATAGATTTTAGAGGGAAATTAACGAAATCAATAATATTCTCCAGTACTTTGTGTATGGTAAATATTCATAAAATCCTTAAACCTGTTACATAATAATATTATCATGTGTAGTACCTACTGATAGTATGTATGCACTAAAAAAATGTGATAACAAAGTTATAGCTTGATCAGGATATTTTCTATTTTTATCCAACACGGTTTCCCATCATCATAATTCAACTGCCAAAAGACGGATTATAATATAAGTTCATGACTTTTAGAGATGTCAACGTAATGCGCTTGTAATTCTGCGAACCCGTAAGGATGTAATTTTATAACAATTCTTAATTTTAAATGAATCTTATATGATAATGTGTACGTATAATACTTGGGAAAATTAAATTGTGCTTCCGCCTTTTCCGGTAGACTTATAATTCACCAATACGTATATAATGTATGTATAAACACACCGGAAAACCTATTATTTTGCACAAAAAATAAACTTTAAAGTAACTTTTGACACTTAAAGGAAACTACGTAAACGTGTGTAGTATTATGCAATCTGTAATTAATATATATACGTCCCAACGTATACACTATCCGCTTTTAAATTTTCCACACATAACTAAGGCAAGTTTGAAGAATTGAGTTGTAACAATGTATAGCGCAAATAAGTACTCAGATGATAAGGAAGCTGACATAATTCCCAAATTGTTTTTATGAAGTTATTAATACAAAGTATTTTAACCTAAACAAGTTGGTGTGCTATAACGTGAATGTGAATAATATTATCAGAACAAAATAATTCATATTATTTTTGCAAAACATGAAATTAATATTCATACACTTATTAAATATTCTTCAATTATAATATATTTAAACTATATCATTATTAAAAGTAAAACCTACAATATGTTCATCTAAAAATTTAGATATAATTATTTATTTACTATACAATATATTCTTTACTGAACACCTGTTTTTGTTTAATTTATATTCGCCATTTTTAAAAATCGAATTTCCCTAAGCACTGTAGTATTGGTACCCATGCTAAGATTTTCAAATACTACGATATTGTACACTGTAGAAAACAGTAAATTTTACTCAAAAATAAAATTAGTAAAATATTGTATTATGCAGGTTAGGTTGAGCCTCACAAATTGCGTTGTCATACATAATGTCTGTTATGTAGTGTTATCGGTTGAGTTGGTATCATGGACTCGACCGACCGTTGATAATCAACATTTAGTTCAACAAGGGTGTAGGTCCGGCAAATCTGATTTCTCTTTTAAATTTAGATGTAATTAATTTAACGAACTAACCTAACATAACCAAATCCAAGTAGACATTATGTTTTTAAAAAGAGCGTCTCTTAATTATTTAGATTCGTTTTATTTACATAACCCAAACCAATGATTTGAGAGTTAAATTGAGCCATATATAATTTGTTTTTACATTAAATCACTTTTTGTCAATATTTTTAATTTTTAATTCAGTTGTCACAAAAATAAATGTTTTTAAACTAATGTTTTTGATTATGAAACATTGCAAACGTCCTACAATTTCATTTTGTACATCAGCGGTACACTATGTATAACGGTGAAAAACATTACCTAGGATTAAAATAGAAGTTTTTTTAGAAGTGTTGCGTATACGTAAAAACACATTCAAAATGGTTTTATTGATATTTAATTCTGACCAAATATCGACACTATTCTCTGGAGGTACCCGAGGAGTCATTGAATTGAAAACTATAATTCCCCGCGGTGTGAATATACCGATTGATACACGACTAGTTCGTTAGGCACACCGACGTTAAAAAATACATACGAGTACAATATAACATTATAAAATAATAACAATAAATATTAGTGTCGTGTTAAGTATATTCGGAATAGGATAGATCTTAACCAATCAAAGATCGCTCGCATGTGCAGCGAGAACGATTTTATTTCATTGTTTTCCCGATCGTTTAACAATATTTAGGGTTATTGAAACGGTATTAAAGTCAAGAACGACTGAACGGTTTAATTTTGTAGCAACTCGCAATAGACCAGCGTGGACGTAATAATATACTTTACAGTACATTACAATGTATATCACACGGTGACTTCCTTCGTAAACGGTTTCTTGCCATTTTGATTGACGACCAACGATTTTTGACTACCGCTAATCGGGTGACTACAACCGTGGTGGTGGTTGGTGAACGCGTAACCACCGACCGCTGCAGCCGCTGGCTTTTTGTCGATGTTGGTAGACCAGACGACGCGTTTACTCACCTCTTGCATGGCCGATATCTTTTCGGCTAGATGCCGGTTGCCAAGCCTCAAGTTTTTGTCCTTGAGTGCGTCCAGCTGCTTGAAGAGTTGAGCGAATTCTTCCTGAAACAGGAAAACAAAAACGAGTTAAAGTATAAAACGTTTATATGTTTTATATTGACATAAATTATTATTCACGCGAAGTAGGTACTTATATAACAGCAGTATTACAGGCCGACCACTTAGATTAGGTCCGCCGTCAGTCAATCACGCACAAGATTTGTACCGTACCAAGGGGTGAGAAAATACGTTAATAAAAACTCTACTTTATGCCTATAATATTGTAATGGTGGTTTTCTGTAACACTTCGTTTAACAATAATTTATTATTATAACGTTATAATTAGTAATCATCACTTATCAGTGATCACTAATTGCATCCTGTTTTACTCAATGATTAATTATTCAGAAATTTTTAAGAAAATAAAATCAATCCTATCATATCTGGAAATTCTGAATAGATAACGAACACGCGAATGCGTGTAAGTTGAAAAATCTATGCGGTAATATATGTGTAGTTTTTGTCTGGTAAATGTACAGCGTAGATGAAGGATATTTAATAAATACTATGAACACGTGACTGTAACTATTTTGAAGATTAAATAATAAGTACTTTTTAAGATTTTGATATTTTGCATACTTGACAGCGAAGGTCCATCACATTTTTTAATTTGAATTCTGTTGGGAATATATGATATTATTTTCTTGGAAAATGAAAAATAATATTCATTAAAATATCTATATAATTAAAATACATCTTATTTTGAATAATTTAAAAAACAGATATTTATTTTTATATTTACTTTTTTAATATAACATTTATATTACTTCATTAAGCTCGGGGTGTCGAGTTTTATTCATATAAATTATAAGTACATATTATTTTATAAATTATTGTACACATAATAATTGTCCGTAAAAAGTTTTGATTTAGGATTGTTTAAAAAAACATCTTGTCTTCGAATAATAATTTGTATTTAAAGCTTTATTTAAATTGAGTTCCTAATTTATTCATGCACCTGATTTTTTTTAAATATAAACATTACAATCAAAATAAAGTTTATTATTTGTTTTTCATTATTAATTTTCATCGGCAGTGTAGTATTTAACATTTTTTTTTTGAATTACCGATTCGAAAATTACTAAATTATGTTTCAAACTATATGATGCATTATTAAAATCTAAAAAGCAATTTTTAGATTGTATAACTCTTTTTATAGAAAAGACAATTATATTATATAAAAAAGTTCTAACAAAAATAATATATTTAGTTATCCGTAAATTGTAGTTCAGAAAATAAGTATATTATTATTGATTTCCCTCGGGATTGTAACATCATTAAAATATACTGTAGCTAAGCAACTATAATATGTCTATAATATTATATAATAAATATGAGACATTTTATTTTATCATGATAATTTCCATTAAATAATAATAACGATAAATTATGTAATGTTATAAAATAGACAGACATATTGTGGATATTCGGAAGAATGATCAACTCCTTTTTTTAGTATTGTTTAATAGGTATACATCGTTCAAATTTAAAAGATCTAAAAATAACTTAACTGAAGATACAGAAAAATGAATGAAAAAAAAAAATTAAAACCATGCGTCAATAACATTGTGCAATGTAAAGGCACAAAACATTGATAGAGAGACTTTGGTTTTACATATTATAAAATATTTTATATATTTTTAAAATATATTATACACTTTTGGGGCTTTGCATAACATAGAGAAATCCATTATTTATTGCCACAAACCCGAGAGAGACAACCCGAAAAATAAATCGAAATATAGTAAACACATCAAGATTTCCAACTTTTCAATTACATTGTACTAAATGATAAATATTTGCTTCAGCGTATCAAATATTTATAAATATGAATATCAAACAAAATAATTCAAAAAAGTGAGTTTTTGTGTGGCTTAAATACAATTCAATGTCGTTTCACCTGACATAATACATTGTATACAACATTAATTATATATTATGTTGAACATTTTTATTTTTTTAAATAATATAAGTCTTTCCTTCATTTCAGTATTCAGCATTAAACTAGGCACTAAATTGTTAACAAAGTTAAAATATTAATTTAAATAATATTTATAGTTGTTGTAACTGTATTGTTATAAATCTATGAAATGGTTAAATCATGGTTGGGTTAAATTAAGTGGTTAATCAATAAATTCATCCAGTAACAAAAGCCTGTTTTATTTTCAAAACATATTTGAATTCTTTTTTTTCTTTTCTAGGTTATGTAAAATATGGATTTTCAATTTGTTGTTGTATTGTTTAATTAGTATAGTACCAAATATTTTTTTTTTCAAAGTTCACTTTTACTTTAGTGTTGTTAAAAGAAAAATTGATTTCCTTCGAAACAGTAAACACTAAAAGCTAACAAATTCAAATATGTTTTCAAAATTAAAATTGGACTTCAGGAAGAATATTTATTTTTCTTTCGCTTACTGGTCTAAGTTAATGCTCAAAAAAACCTCCACCTTTCGACAACCTTAACAGAATAAAGTACCTACGACATTCGTAGATAGAACGAAATATTAAGTTTTACATTATAGTAGGCACTATACAATTATCGTACTGCTTGTGCGTGATTTAAACTTTAAAATTCGCCGTTCACTACTGTTAGATGTTATAAGAAGAATCCAACTACTCTATCACTATGGTTATAATTCAATATTTTTGTGGTAAAATTGCAAACCTCAACCCGGCTACAACTTTTTAATACTTTAGTTTGACACCTGTCATCCGTGAGGACGTACCTATCACATGAATTTTACCGCGAAATATAATCTTATGTTAGTGTTTTTTTTTTGTTAAAAAATGTCGAGTGTAATAGGGTCAGTCGTTGAACGAAGTCTCGTGGACTTGACTCTAATGTTTTGAGAAATATATTTATACGAAACAGTTGTCAAGATTATTATCGTGGTCATAAGGCGACTAATCTACAAGGGTTGTTGACCTACGATTTTTGTTTTAATATTCATCATTGTTGCATACAAATTGTAGACGTTTTGAACAGACACATGAGTTAACATATTATTATCTATGTTATACACTTATGTTTTACGTATTATCTACATTATGATCAAGGTTCAAACAATATATTGTTATTCAGATAACGATCATCAAAATAATTTGTTGTTGGAATTAGTTTTTTTTTGTATTCAAAAAATTAATCTTCAAAGTATTTTTTACATTTTTTTTTAAATACAAATGTGTATACCATTGCATTTTAGAATATAAACTTTAAAAGTCGTTTCCCGCTAGATGATTTCAAAAATTTGTACTAGTATTGTAATTGTAACATAGTTGTATTTATACCTGACTTTGTTATATAGTGACTTATTGTATTAAACAGATGAGGTATCTTTGAGTATATCATGTAATATATTCAAAAAAAAAAATGAATCATACAAAATTTGTTGCCTCGGGTATTTTTATAATCAGATTACTTTTGTTTATTTCAGATTTTTTTTACTTTAAAAGTAATATTTAACCATTAAAAGTTCACACTATAATACAATTATTGTTGTTTATATTTGTTAGAAAATATAGATAGGAAACTCACTTGCGCGTCTGTTTCCGTTAGCACAAAGTCGGTACTAGATTCTTCCAATCCACAAAATGTGGAGTTATTAGCTTTGTTTGAATTTCTAGTCTGTTTACTCAACATCCTACTACCACCGGTCACTTTAATGCTCTTTATTTGGCCGTCTTCATCGTTTGCTTCTTCACCTCTCATCACTAAATATGCCTAATTATATGAACATTTTAAACAATTTTAATAAAACGAAATAATTGTAATGCATTTTAAGGCACATATAAGGATCATTTAAAATTATATACTGTTTTGTGTGGTGTATACCTACATTTAAATATTAAAACTATGACCAAATTTTAATATTAATACTTTATGCAATTTACCAGAAAAAACAAATTATGAATCAGTCATGTTTAACTAGCATACATGTGAAATATAACGCTAAATACAAAACTAGCGATACCCATGCGTTAATCAGTTCACTGACTATACGTTTACTCATATAGAAATTCAATATTTCAAAATATTCAATTAAATTATAAAAATCAGATAAACTATCTCTTGGAAATAGTTGTCTTATAATATTGTATCAAATACAAATATGTATGTTTACTTTATTTTTTTTTTTATTTTACATTTTATAGAACTATTTAATTTCAAGTCAACTAACTTATTTTCCATCATTTCTTTCATTAATATAAATGTTTTACGTGGCAATGGTGCCTACCAAATGTTCAATAGTATTTTTCGGTTTCAGTTTAAATTACATACCTTACTGGCGAATATAAATCCTAGCAGAGTTGTCACTGTGAGTTGAGTATGGCAAAAGAAAATGATATACTGCAAATCGGGGTTAGCCGGTGACTGCAGAAAAAACCTGTAATAAACAAGAACAATATTGGTATATGCGTGATGAAAAAAATTATTCTGTAAATCAAAAACTACATTTAAATAATTATTATGGTATGTCGGTAAACATCTTCTTATATATTTTCTCCTCAACACCAACTCCTTTTAAAATTTGTAAGTGTTGTAACATTTTCACTTTATATTCATGCAAAACGAATACCATCATTTAATTACTGATGCAAGCACTCGCGTATAAGTGAGAATGTGGAATGATATAATAATATATATATATAATGTTTAAACTGAAAAAGGAAGGAAAAACAATCAAAAAAACGTAAGTAATTTTATTTCAAGGCATGTAAAAACGGTTAAACATATTTATGGTGGGAAAAAATTGATAAAAAAAATTGATATTGTACAATAACTGTTATAGTTTCTGGATGTTTTAGTGTAACCCTTCAAAAATACTTTATTTGTTACTAATAATACACTTATACTTGATTAGTAGTTACCATATTGTGTAGTTGGGTACTTATATTATAGTCATGTTCGTTTCATTTTGTATAATATGACGTATGTATATGTCGGTTATGACCAACCCGTGGCCCCGAGCCCTATGTTTGTCTTAAAAAAATTCAATCATTTGTTTTTTTGTAAAAATAATTTTAAGTTAATAGATTGCTAATATAATAATCAAGTATAATTGTTTATGAAATATAGTAAAAACAAGATATACCATATTTTAAAATGCAATAATTTTAAAATATGGAATAGGAAAAAGATGAATTTATATTATTGGTGGCCCGCATAAAGACAATATTTTTCTTATGTGGCCAGCCCATTGGGAGAAATTGGTGATCACTACACACTACACTCGGAAATTACCTATATTTTAATTTAGAAATACAAACCTTAACATCTTGTTAGATAATGCAGTTTTATTTTTACTATTATTTGATAAATACGATGAGTTGCTTGACTAATTGATATGTTTACAACATGTAACAACATTTTGGCTTTCACATATTAATTTCACAGAGGTCGCCCCAGATGAGTAGGTCAATAACTATTTACCCTATAGATCGCATACTTCCCAATATAGTGTTTGTTTACTGATCGTATATTGAAGAAGATAACGCGTGGTATGTATACATATGTAATTTATGTGTTAAACTACAATTGGTACCAGCGGTATAATAGTAAATAAGTATTACTTAATTTTAGTTTATCCGAAAACTTTTCTTTTCGAAATACTTAAAACTTTACTCTTCAGCTAAGGTTTAGGTTAGTAGGACTTCCCTATTGGATAGCCCGTTTGTCTAATACCAAACGTTTCATCTCGATCTTGTAAAAAAACGTGTACCATTCAACCAAGCGTTAAAAAAGGCGATATTATACCAGCCGTTATCTTCACTTCTTATGTCTGTATTTTATAGCTTATTATAAGGTCTTATTCAATAAGTCTGTAAGTTATAACCATATATGATTCACATTTCTCTTCATATTCTTTTTTATCCAAAACCGTTTGCTGTGTACAAACCATTACCAAAACTCTAAATTAAAATATCATAATTTATTGTTTTATATTTTATCAACTTGTTTCTTCATGACGGAATAAAATATAACACATGTTGCATTGTATAATCAAATATAATAGAATACCATTCAAAATTAATTTGTAATAAATGTCAGGAGATTTAATTTTACTTGTTGTGAATGTATACTTACTTACAATATTTATATAATATATTAACTTTGAATGCAATTAAAATTCATAATTATTTTAATACATTATTCAACTTACATTGATACATTAAGGAACACTGAGAGAATGAATTCATTGTAAATGGCCATTGACATGAATCGACTCTCGTTGAATTCTGATGGTGCTTTCCGCACAACAATACATAGACGAATACCCCAAACTAAAAATAAGACTTCCACTAAAAAAAAAAAAAAAACATAATAATATTATGAATTATGAATCATCTTTATTTTTGTATGTATGCCACTGCCTTCTAGAATAGTAATAAAAGATACAATCTTCAACATTGAAGATAGCTTATGGTAGCGAAATCGATCTAGATATTACTTGGGGATCTTAATTCATAAAATTAAGTTGTAAAAGGTTATCAAAAAGCAAAAATATAACGACGTACCAGAGAAATAGGAATTCGGAGATATTAAGCAAAACCAGTTTTAACCAAAATCAATTGTATTTTTTTGCAATAATACTTAAAACATCAAACATTCATATAAGCATTATATTCTAAAAATATATTTTTGTATTTTATTATTCAAATATGAATCAGTTTTTTAAGAGGTACCCAAAGAGTAGCAAAGAACAGATACATCTGTTAAGTATAAGGAAAAACAAGCTATGCAATTATTAAATAATAATTAATAGTTACTGTCTAGTTGAAATAATTAATTCAAAATTGCACAGAGTTATAGAGTCCTCATTAGCGTGAAGCATCGAATGGTGTGGAGTTAAATTATGAATGTAGTTGAAGGCAGACAAAGGTGCGATAAAGGGAGTGGAGTTAAACAATTTTAATTTAATAATGTATAATAAAGTAAATTATTAATACTAATAATTGACATAAATACATTATAATATTATTAACATTATTTATTTTTCATAGGCTGGGCCATTTTTTACATTATGCGTTTGTAGTTCAACTAATATTCAGGCAAATAACTTTTCTTTTTTTTTTTATTCACAAAATGCATGACAATACATCAAAATATCAAATATACAAATTTTTTTAATGTAAAATAAGATCTTAAAACCTTGGTACTTACGTATTGAGAAGAATCTATCCCACCATCCAGTTGGACACAGATCTGTTTTCAAATTATCTGCAGTTCTACCTACTATAACATATGGTGGGTTGACCAGAGTTCTTATCAGCATTATCAAGCCAACTACCGCCATCATTAGACCAAGTCTCTTTAGTAAGTCCTTGTCGGTGATTTTAACGACTTTTGCTGATCTCACCCTGAATATTACTGATATCCTATGAACATGAATTAAAAAACATATGTACTAATCGTGCACATAATAAATCATGTACAAATTAATTTAACTAGTGTAGAACTTATTTCCGTGAAGAATAATAAAAAAAAAAACAATAATCTATTATTATCAAATGTTTTTAGATATGAAAAGCTGCAGGATAAATTGCCAACTATTTAAATGATGCATATAGGCCAATGGAGGCAACAGTGTTTTTTAATTTTAAAACAACAATAAATTATTACGTTTAGAAAATATTTTTAATTGGAAATTATCACTGTTCATGGCAACAAATGTGAGCTATTTATGGAGAATCTTAGTATTATGTTTTAATTATATTTCGGATAATATTACTGTTCGCTTTGGTTTTATCACAATATTAATAAATGATTAGGTACATATTTTAATGAGCAGTGTTAAAGTGTTAACTAGGGGATCTTGTATAACTTCATCATTGAAGAAAAAAAGATTGGACATGCCTGGTTAATCGGTCTTAATGATAATAAAAAAATAAATATTTAAATTCTTTTTTTTTAAATTTGTATATAGGTTATACAGCGACAAATTAAAAAAAAAATGATTTTTCAAATTCTCATAACTTGCTTCAACATCTAAATCATAAACCAACTCGGGACTAGATAATATTCTGACCTTTAAATTTTATCATAAGTCAATTTCATCTGATATTAAAAATAGATTCTTCTGAACGTAAAATTGACAATCACACGCACTATTTTCCAATGTAATTAAGTACAAAAAGTTATATTTATTTGTACTAAGTGCATACATTTCAAAATAAAATTCTTGTACCTATATTTTAATATACTCAGAAAACGCAAAACCTCTTATTTAGGTACCTAATATAGTAACATTATTTTCAAATGATGTAAAATAAAAATTCGTACCCAATAGCATAAATATTGTAAACACATATATTGAAAAAATAATTTATTCAACATTTTGTAATTGGATTGTTCATATTTAATTTATAATTACATGTCTATCTGTGTTTATATTACACAATAAATGTATGGATTTGCTGAGGAAGTTTTAGTATTTTATTCGATAAATTGGATGTAAACACGTCGTTAGTGGTAAGTAATATACGTTAAATATGTATTATTACAAGTTATTTTAATGAATAATTTATTCATATGTTGTAAGTTTATACACAAGTAATTAATTTTTCGTTTTCTCCTAAGAAAAATAAATATTATTTGCCTATCGAGTTAGGTAGGTTATCGAGTTTTGATTTATCTAATTGTTAATTTTCTGATGAACGTTCGGATTCTCGAAATCAAGTACAACAATTGAATAGTGTTAACACTAATAATTATTACAAAATTGTATTATAGTGTAATTGCGGCCAGCCGAAGCATAATAATCAATACGACTGCAACATCGATTAAATTATTGTATAACACTATAACCTATATATTATATACGTATATTGAGGAATTTGTATTATGAGATTGAAAGTGATTCAATATTATAGGACTATTACAGAAAAATTAGAAATATATGATAATTTTTAATCTTACATGACTAGTGAGCAGAACATTTTTCCAGAAGAAAACAATTATTTCAAAGTTTCATTTACTAATTTAAGCAAATGTACAAAATATGTTTCATAGGCTAACAATATTTAACAATAGTTAATTAATTTTGTATGTTTTTATGAATTACAAATGTTGAATACAAAATACATATTATATTTATATTAAAAATGGGATTAATATACAAACTAATTTAATATTTAGCTGATCAATCACCATTTTTATTTGAATATAATTTAAAATATATCGTTAAGCCCAATGGAACATGTCACCAGGGTACCCAATGTACAGTGTACCTTTTTAACAAAAAAAAAAAATTGTATATTTATCAATATAGGTACTACTACCTGTCAGTAATTACTAAAGTTGGAATTGCAAGGTAGAAGATAAAATGAATCAGATAAAATTTAATTCAGAAGGCTTTAACAGGATTAATTGTCTATCCTTGATCTCATAAATAAAATTTAAAAAACAATGGATTTAATCATATCCAATCTGGTTGTTATACATACTATAGGAATTTTTAAGGATGATTTTTCGCAGTGTCAAAGTGTGTTAGAAATTGTTTTACTAACGATATAGTATATTATGCCTTAATGCCTATACAGGCTAATTCATGAGACATGCTCACCTCCAAGTTCCTTACTGATAACAAGTAACAATAAGTTTCCTAAGTTTCCTTACATTGGTTCAAATTCTGTTTATTTTTTAAATTTTTAAGCTTACATATAAAAAAAAAATATCATAATATCCCTAATCAATTATGTGTCTTGTGTCAATTCAAACTTTTTTTATGCATCAAATATCCCACTTATTTATTGTAAACTATCAAATATGATGTTTTATTCAAATATGTTAATGGTCTCTATTTTCTAAATCGAAATTTGAACAAGTAGTTTCCTACTAGTTTCTGAGTTGTAGAACTTGATAATAGTTTTCGAATATATGGTTATTTAATAATATGGTAATATGTATGATAATTTGAATTAGTTATTATTTTTAATATTTTGAACTCGTGACATACTGTAATTAGTATTAAAATGTGTATGAGTTAAATGCAAAAAATTAAATTAATTTAGACAAAATGTTACATAGTTGATAATATTTTTTATATTCTATATTTCTATGTCAACCCGTTATTAAGAATTATTATCCATTATTCATAAAGTTTAATAACTTATGTAATTTAGGAACTACTCAAGGAAATTTCTGTTAAGATATTTTTAGATGCAAATCTAGATCACGTTCTTAACAATTTACCCTCAGAAAATTCATTTATTACTTAAATAATAAGATTAAATTGTATTTAAAATCTAAGTATTTTATAAAATATTGTTAAAAATTTAAAAAATTGGATTTTTGATAAAATATAGATTTTTAAAAGTGAGTGAAAAATATAAGGGTTAGCGTACTTGGTGAATTAAATCATTGGAATGTAAAAAATTTAAGTGGCAGGCATTGTTTTTAGCAATAATACAATAGATTGTAATATTAAAGTCATATTTTAAAACGAACAATTAATTTGTGATACTGCATTGTGTTACTTTGATAGTAAAATGTCATTGATACAAAGGATTGATTTACATTCATATTTATGTGTTTGAAATAGTAGTGCAAATGGTGAAATGGAACTTTATAATATTATCATTTACAGTTTAGTACCTCCACAGTACTATTAATCATTAAGCAGACATAAAATAAGTTACTAATATAACCAACTGTTATACAGATTGTATAATAACATGAACGAGCAATGATGAATTTATGAAATACGTTACCTATTTAAAAGTTAGGTACTATTAAAATTAGAACGCCATATCAAATAGTGATACTCTTTATCGTTTCATTTTACAAAGTTTTGATAGAAATTTAAAAATTTATTATTTCAAATTGGATATTACGTTCGATAACAAGGCCTAATAATTTAATATCCAATAATACACAACTTCAGTTTACTTTATTTTCTATTGTTACTCCTCACCATACACCAACAATAAATAACTATATAATTATGTGAAAATCAATACATTTTGAGTCACACAATATTTATAGGTGTTAACTTATTGTATTTCTATGTATTCTTAAAATTTTGAATTTTCTATTCACATTTTCAAGGTTATTGTTGTTTTTGACCAATCCTACGTTTTTTTAAATAATATTTCGAAAAAAAAAATAAATAAAAAAATAACCAAAAACCTATTTTAGGTTAGGTACTCAGTAGCTAAACATTTGTCTCAATATTTTGAAAATTTCATTGGGTTCAGGAAATGATCATCTAAGCGATAATGATCCAAGTGTGTAGAATTAATATGTTTTCGAATAAGTAGCAACGAAATGACAGGAAAACAGTTTTAGATTAATTAATATTTTTTAAAGGTATAGTTGAATAAGATAATGCTAATGTATTTAATTAATTTAATGAAAAAAAAATTTGCTTTTGAACGAATTTATTTTTATTCAAATTATAAAAACAGTATTTGTGGTTTTTTTAAGTGTATTATTTACATGTATTAATACAAATTAGAATTTATCGTAAAGATACAAAATCATATAACAGCAGTGTTATCAAACTTGTTGATGTGGTAAAATTCGACAAAACATGATAATTTTTTTTTCTAGAAATTTTATTGTAATAATTTCTATAAATTCAAAGTCAATCCGGTAGCATGTTAGAAATATTTGGAGGGCGTTTTTTCTTAGTACAACGAATATCCAATTTGGCAACTACCCAGATGGCCAATTTCAATTAACATTGAAGATTTGGCAAACATAGCCATTGGCTGTAGATCACAGTTATAGACTATGGTGGTTATTCATTTATCGAGAAAAAAAACACCTACAGAATAATATTATAATGTATAAAAAAATATATGTTGCGAACTTACGATGGTGCCTATGATTATAATAATAAAATATAGTTATGTTAGTATCATATACTTTTTTATATAGACAATGGACATTGCGTATGTACAGTTTTGTTCCGATGGTGATAAAAATGTACTTTTAGTTGTTATATTTGTTCAACTGGTATTGGCCTATCTAATTTATAAAGGAACGGCTTACAAATTAAATTACTTTTGTTCTAACCAATATCAACTCATTTTTTTAATACATTATAATTTGTGGATGCTTGAGTAACTGCTTTACATACACTATGTAGTGCCTGCACAATATTAGATTCTGAGGAGAGCAACTAGTGTATTGATTTTACAACGATGTGCATTTTATATTTTTCTTCACTATCAACATTTTCCGGGAAGATTTCTTTCGGGAAATTTAACCGAGTTGGTATTTCTGGGGTTAGGGGAAGAGGGAGAGGGGGAGGGGGTTCAAAAGTAAAAATCCCATTCCCGGTGCTTTCTAAGGGCAATGGGAAAAAAAATATTAATGAAAAACGTGAAGTTAACATTTTGACAAAATCACAAACAATTGAAAATTATTTCACAGCTAAGTGTTGAAAATATTTAATGTAAGATTAAATGTTTAATATTTAATATTAATTATTTCATTGTACCCTTAAATAATTCAATTTTTAGCTTGAAAATAAAAAAATATGTATAGACTCAGTTTTTAACACATATTAAGTTCAATTTTGGACAAAATTATACATTATTTACACAATAAATAATAATTTTTGGTAATTTTTTTGTAACTTCCTATAGTATTCGTGGTACATACAATTTTTAAAATGTATCAATATACTGTTTACACACAATGACATATACAAATACAATACTTTATGCAAAAATTTAAATAATCCATAAATTATAATAAAAATAAATAAATTTATTTTGTTGAAAACATCGGTTTTGTGTTAACTTCGAATTGGTTTTTGTCATTTTCTTATAAAATGTTTTACTTTTGATTCACTGTAGTACCAATAAGATCTAACTCGTGGGCGTCGTGGTCGGAAACAGTTTTTCTGCTTTAAAAAGTGGTGACAGACACAAAAAACCAATACATTCATCGCCCCACCAAGAAACTAAAATAGATATTTTGTGAGACAAAAAGTGTAACAAATACTGCTGTAACTGTAGATTTTTTATTCAAACATTCTGTCTTCTGTCCAAACGCTTTTCACAAATACATTATTTTCCTCAAATTAAAACATCTCCATCATATTTAACAACTATTATCTTCCTTTTAACGCATAATTTTTCAATTTGTGTCTTAACTAATTCCTTGTCTACCCTTTTTGAAAAAGGTTAGCAAAAAGATAGTATCCAAAGTAAGAACAGATACCTAACCTATTGGCTATTCCAATTCAAGGATATTATTCCTTGGCACTCATTCCTTTGTATAATTGTTACAGAACCAATTTTTGAGTTTACAAGGAAAAATATCTGGTTTCAGAACGACATAAACATTCGTCCATTGGTCTCGTCACGTGATTGCGTCTAGACTTTAAGCCTTTTGCCCTACACGCGAGTATACCATGCTTGAATTACATGAATCTTATCTACTTATAGTCTTGGATTTCCATCCAGTGTCAAAATTATTCAAATCGATTCTCCGACAATTGCACACCGGATTACTTTTAATGTAATATCTATCTAATGTCTAAACTCTTTGAACCATTTCCCAATTATTCCCCATTATTCCCAATTATTATTATTTATGTTTATGCGTAACGTTACAATGATCTCTCTTTATCGATCTTTACATTATAGTGTACATTGTATGAACATAATCTCATTGTTTTTGGGTTTGTTCTTTTTTTTTACAAATAAAATGAATATAACATAGTAACCTATGGGTTATAATTATAATAATACAATGTGTTTGTGAACAAATTAGTTTATCATTACGTATTACCAATAGTTATGTAAATGTATTCTGAATTATCCTTAAAAATAGTGGCTGGCCCAATACTCACTAGCTGAAAATCGTTTTGTATGCAATGATTTATGATTACAGTGACTTATTCAACGTTAATGTCAACTGAAAATGAACTATACAGCAGACCGACTTCTCCGGTTTATTTATGAAGACTATAATTGCATAAGGTATGATCAATGTACTAGATCTATTATAAAAATACTTTTGTTTCAGTAAGTTAACTTACAATGTAATATCTAAGTAAAAATATAATTTTAAATTAATTATATTAAATACTAAAACGTAACATACAATCACTCACAAAATAATACAAACATTTGTAGTTGTATTTATATGCTAATTTTAAAATACCTTATAGCAAATTAAAGTATTTTAAAAATAATAATATTCATCTATTGTTTGATGTATGGTAATATTATATATTAAAAGCGTATATTATTTAACGACAGAATTATTAATATGAAAGTTAAAAAAATATCCGTTTTCAGTAGCAAGTCTTAGACATTTTAGTATAAATAACTTTTAGACCAAACTTTACCATTTACAAAGTTCTCAAAAACGTATGCACGAATCCACCTGTGAACTTTTACTTTACAAATACAAATTCTTTTTATTCGAACTTCAGGAATCAAATTTAACAGTAAACTTTATTAATGGGTCATACAGAATATTGTAAATCTGTATAATGCAATATATTTACTTTCGTGCTTATTTAATAACATTACAAACACAGGATCAAAAAACAAATAGCACGAGTCATTAAACCTATAAAGCCGAATCAATTTTACCGACACTATAATAATCGTGGTCTTGAATAGTTAATTTGGTTTTGCCAATACATTATTATTTACTTTGATTATAATATGAACACTTTCCTTTTTTAATTATTTCATCTAATATATTTTATTAAATCTGCTACCAATAGGTTTAAGTTAAATACGTTTATTTCAGATGTCTTAGTAATATGTACTTGGTATATTAACATGGGTATACGTAAGCAATCGAGGTATTAGTAAGAAACATGAACAATGAGCAGATTTATTAAATTTATTTCAAGATTTCTATCCGTCACAATTGAATGTGCTTAAATTGTATTCCACGATTATAGTTATAAACCGTTACACACTAAAGCTATTAATATCATAATTGAATTCGTTTTTAAAATACTACTACACTTACCTCCAGGTTTTTAGCATTAAAGCTCCATAGGTGAGTGAGAATCCGATTTCTCGAAGCCAGACTCGAGCAATACAAGTAATCACATTTGGTTTTGGATACATCACAATCATCTGTAAATGCAATTATGTAATTATTAACTATAGGCAGCTGTAGATTGAGCTAGACAGATAGATTTATTTAAACTTTAAAGTGATATAACATTTGATTTATCGCACAATACAGTTTACTTTGCCTTGAGGTACAAAGATTATTGTGAATGATATGATTAAATTTTACAGGACTTACAGTGGCATAAATGAAGAACGCTCCAAGTGCAATAACTCTGAGCAATGCCGGACTAGCTGCTCGAACAACCTACAATATTAAAAATTATACATTATCAAGAATCGTTTACTATTATTTAAGCATATAAAAGTTAAGTCAGATGGTTACAATTACTTTAAATATAGAAGAATTATAATTAGTTACCTTTTTTTTTACATTGCAAACGTGAAAACGCTTACCCAGATGTATTTTATTTATAAGTCAAACACAACGTAATACCCGTCAAATAATTAATATTAAACAATGATAAAGAAGGGCCTGCACGTGACCTTTTTTTTTGCTCAAAAACATACATAGTGATCTGATTTCGATATTTTTTTTTTCTTTTAAGAGAAACACTTCTTACATCGGACTTGGATTTTAAAAATTATATTTCTTAACTACGGAGTAATATTTTTAATACTTCACATTTTCACAATTTTTCACAAGCTTTTGTTATTTTAACTAAGTTTGTTCAATTCACCCTGTAGAAAATCATTATCCTCTTTCTAAAATTAATCGAATCAGACCATTCTACAATGCCGGAGAGGTTTCATTGTGAATTGTGTTTTGAACAAAAAATAACGCTTTTGATCGGATGTGCAGTTGACACGACGTGTGTATGTGCATCGTGTGCATAGATTGTCGGGTACCAGGTATAATTACACACGCACTAATGATTAGGACTCTGATATTGTTGAATTTGCAACTTTCTTTTCCTGCACCGATTTATTGATAAGTAAGTTTCAAATGCGTTGTGTGCAAGTACGAATGAAAATCTAAAAATTTTTAAGTGTGATTTTTTACAATTTTTACATTTTTACAGTTTAGTTGTAAATATGGTATTTTTATTAATTTTACTCATTTTCAATACTATTTTAGCTATTTTTTTATGGAATTTCACATTTATAATACTTTTTAAACGGTTTCATAAAATTATCAAAAGAAACATTTTGTTCAGAAACAAAAATAACATTTCAATTTTAAAATTAAAAAAAAGAACCTTATAGTTCAATGTAACACATATATATTTGTAAAATTAATTAGTAAAAATAATGAAATTGCAATTTTCTAAGCTCCATTTTTTTTAGTGCAATACTGCAATCAATTTTTAGATGTCTTAACTACTACATCATCCGTGCCTTACTAATCATCATTGACGAGTAACACAAATGCCGTGGGCAGCAGCAAGGAAATTATATGTTGCCTAAATATTGCCCCTTAATAAAGACACACAAGCAGGCTCCTTTAATAATTTTTGTAAGAATAAAAGCTACGAACAGTGTGCTTTAACGCATGGTCGCGTTTTTATTTTTCAAATCATAATATTAAAACTTCAGTACCTATTAAAGTATACATTTTCGTATAAAAACGTATTCGAGTAGATATAGTAGGTACTATCATTTTTTTAACATATACATTGTTTGTCAAATACTTAGAAGTGCATTGGATATTGTTTATACAACATTAATATAATATAAAATATATTTTGAATAATACAACTATCGATATGTATAGTTTAATATATTTGAATTTTCATACATTCCATGTAAGAGAACAATGAGTCTTTTAATGTCTAATGCAAGAGAAACGTTAACAAAATATGTTCTGAAACTAAAGGTACCTACCCAAAAGTCTATTTTCATTGATCTTAAACATCGAATTCTTGGCTTTTTTTTTCAAATAGAAAACTTTTCAAAAGTTAAACGTGATTAATTTTTTTAATATGTACTTTACATATTTCATAGGTAGTACATATAATTTTTATACACAATAAATGTGAAGTACCTAATTAGATGATAAGATATTCTAGTCTGATGTATTTTTGTTGAAATTTCACAAAATACATTAAATGGAAATACGCATACAGCCAGATTATGTTATCACTCATCCCCTTAAAAATAAACATCTTCTACTAAAATAAATTTGTATAGGTAATCAATTTAATAAGTGACAAATTCGTTTAACCATGAATGTTTTAGAATTTAAATAACTATAAAAACTGTTGAAAATTCTATTGGAATTTGAGTATTATAGTAACGATTTCCTGTCAAAAAGTTATTGGTAATTAATTATAATCATAATGTAATGTTAATAATTGACACTTACTCTTAACTTGGTATTGAGTTTTTTTTAGAATACACCATTTTAAAATAATGACTATAGATAAAGTCAATATTAGTTTATCATATTATTATATTATTATGTTTTTTAAATTTCACATAAATGGAAATTTTTTTCCTTTATTAGAAAAATTCCAAAAAGAATATAAATACAACTCTGAGCACGTGATCATAAAAATTATCAATGTTACCACAAAATACTTTCATCGCCAGTTTCTGTGTATGACCTTCAGCTTTGATGGAGGAGGTGCATTTAGATCGATATTCTCAAGAAAATAACTTATTTAGCATTTAATAACAAAGCAGTAATGTACCTATGTATATCTACTATCAAGTAATCGACTACTATTTACAATCATGTAAGTATGTCTAACATCATTTTAATTCATTTATATATAATTCAATTCAAGCTTTTGTAAGTTATTGCATAAATATTTGTTTTTTGTATCCAAAAATTTACATAATCTACTGTAATTACTGATTTGATTGTGAACATATATTATAGTACGTGCACATTTTTTTTTCTTGGTAAACCACTACATACTCGTATAGGAGCCGAACTGTTGTGCACATGGCATAGCCCACATGCAGCATCGTTTATTTTAACAGATATATACAAATTTGATGGAAATAAGAAATATAGTACGTACAGAGTACACATTACAATAATAATGTGATGTATCATAATTATAAATCTTCATAATATGTAAAAAGATACATCACTTGTTGATATACCGCTTTGCAATGTTGTAATAAATATTTTATTAGTAACAGTGCTAAAAAATAACATAATATTCAAATGTTTTATTTTCAAAATTTTTTTTATAAATCTATTCAGTTTGAAAACGTATTTTTTTCCTCATATTATAAATAATGTATGTTTTATTCTAAAATATGAAGACCGTACAATTAGTTTTTTTATATTTAGTCAAATTGTTGATAACCTTATTTAAATATTTTGTTTTTTTTATCTAATTACAACTTTTTTATATCCATTATAATAATATGTAGGTACTAATCCAAAATCATATTATCTCTTTCCAAACGACTTTGTATAGCTATTCATTATGAAATATTAATTCAGAAAGTTCGGATAGTTAAAATAATTTTTTTTTTTTTGATCTATAGTTTTTCAGAGTGCTCGTATTTAATGTAATACTCTGATACTTCATAGTTAAAACTTTTATCTAAGTCGACAATGATGTCTGAAATTCATAAGATGTTCATTGTATATTGTTATCCAACTAGAAATCTTAGTTGAATCATCACTTGAATTAACTGTTTTACGGGTACTTAACAATATGATCGTAAATTATAATATTTATAATAATTCTGTGAATTTGTGTAACAATCAAGTATCTGATAAAACATCTTTCTGGGTATTGAAATCACTAAACATTTAAGGTTAATGAGATTGAGAGATTCACACACATCGCACTTCTCGAATCATACGTATACAAAATAAATTTCTGCCAATTGAAATATTAGAAAATTGAAAATCACATACATTTACATGTGAAATAAATTACTTTTAAATGGGCAAATAAACTTTAGTCTTCTGTAAACATTCAGTCACACCACACACTGTTTGAGACAAGTGTGATAGACATATATTTTATGTCATACACATATTTTAAAATTGGTGAGTTGAAATATTCAAGTTGACTATCACAAATACAAATTGTCTAGTATACTTTTCACAAAATTTAAAATCCTTTCATCATAAATATTGATGACCTATAAATAACATTTAAATATAGACTTTATTATGTTCGCCTATTGTATTCATTCAAAAAGATAATAAAAACAACATCTAATATGTACAAAATCTAAAATTGAAATTTATCTTTAGTTTATACTACGTTTAGTTTTGTATTTAAATAATCGTCGTTAATGATACATAATATTAATCAATTAGTTCACTTAGAATAATAAATATGAAAGCATATTCAAAAGCCCGTATATTTTTAATTCTAAAAATGTTAACTATGAGTTTCATATTATAATATTATAATAAATACATGCTCAAGATTTTCATTGAAACTGTACTGAAGCCAACCAAATACATTAAGAGAATTTGGATAACACGGTTAACAATTAAATGAAAGCTAGTCTCTAATCAGGTAATTTGCATGATTGTATTGTGCCTTATTTAAATTTACCAAGTTAAAAGGTTAATATAAAAATCAATCATTTATCAAGAAACTATTTTTTGTTAAGATTAAAATGTACAAACAAAGAAAAAGTAAATTTAATAAAAAAAAAAACAAATTGAAAGGTAGCTGCCATAAATAAATATACAATATATATTTTTTGAGGGTATTCTTGAACCAAAATATAATTGAAAATAACGGAACAATTAAGAAAATATTTTGTTGAATTTATTTGCCTTCATTTTACCATCTCTTATTAAATTTAGATTTCTCATTCATCTTGCTAGATATTTAACCTTGTTGACGCCACAATCAACGTTTGCACCTGCACGCCGTGTCCACCACCAAAGGCCCGATAAGCTTATCTGTCGGCCGACCGGTCTCGGCGGTGGTGACCCAGCATACGCTTCTCTAGTACCGGTGTAGTAGCCGCGACGACCTGTGCGTGTCGTCCGTTGCCGCTTTGTTGTTGCACTATTATATGTCTACCGTGCAAAACTTCGTCGTACGTACGTAAACATATGATCATCGCCCGTCCCTCGTCGCAGTGCGTAAGTTAAAAGTTTATTATAAATGATCATCGCTCGTCCGCAAAGTGCGCAACGCGACTCATCTTATTTGCAAAAACATTATTACCATCGACTGCAAGTCATTATCAAAACGTCGCATTACGTAATTGGTGCAGCTGTTCCACCACGACATACACAGCACTACCCAGTACATGTTATCAGGTCGTACTATCATTCATTCTACATATGATTTTTTTTGTTATTGATGTATTAGTTAAATTATTATAACGATCGCTTGTGATCTATTTATTATATTATTGTAGGTATTTACCGTGGTCGGGTGTGACCATATTATTACTAACATAGGTTAAGGCCTCGTATGTATTATTTTCAATTATTTTCAATATTATTCAATTATTTGTCATATTATTCGCTTGTTATTTATCATCCATATTTTAGTCCTATACTGTTGGTAATCTCCTTGAGCAATACTTTGTCGGGCGTACCAGCCGCAACAAACCTATTAGGCTTACATAGTTACATTCAATACTGTCGATAACTTATAAAATATAAAAATCATAACTATAATCGTATAAACTCATAATATTAAGACTAAGTTATATTATATTGCACTAATGGATATTTGAAATTATGTTGAACTTGATTTTAGAATACTACTAATCACGGACTGAAATGTACGAGTTCTGCATTAAAGAGTTTTATTCATTACATCAACATACGTCATTATCTCTACGCGAAACAAACTACAATATGTCAGCACTTGAATATCAATGATAAACGAGACTTTCCAATGTAATATATTATAGTTCACAGAGTGCGCTAAAACGAAGCATTTCGTTATGGTGTCCTTCACTTAATTTATTGAATGCATCTCACAACTCCAGCTCGAAATTAATTAGAACAGTCAACACAGAGTCGGCTTTTGAAAAACCTATAATTGAAAGAATGACATTACAAAGAAGTTATCTTGATCATCGAACTAGGTCCAACAAAGGTATCCCTCAAGTTAGGAACATGTGACTATAAATAACTACGAAATAACAACATCATATTATTATGTAAAAGACTGGTGTTTCGTAAAAATCTCGGTTTTTCTAAATTATTATTAAAAAGACAGGGATTTTTTCACTTCACTCACTTCATTGCCAAAAAAGATATTATAGTTGAAGAGAGACGCTTTGTACTGTTTTAAATGGGGATGACGGATGAAAGAAAAAAAAACACACAAATTATTATAATATAAGTGCATTGAACATACATTCAAAATCTAAAAAATAACTATAAACATTATACTCTTCAAACTGCAAAATATGCGAGCGTGTGTAACATCTCACTCATATTTGAATGGTATATTCACGAACATGCGTTCACCTGCTATCACCATGAAAATGTTGATAAACTACAATCTAACTGTTTTTACCACATCCCCGGTGTTTCCAATTATTAATATCGACATGATATTGTACATAATGAGAATCTCACGTCTTGTGACATTGTGATTTGTGATACATAAGTACAATCGGATAATAATATTAACAGTACATTAGCAAATGTAAAGAAAGTAATTTAAATACTCTGAATGATAAGCATTAGAACAAAGAGTTCTATTATTATTCCAATGTTTCGCGTCCATTTACCGTCTTCGAGCTACGTGTATATAATTTATATTATGTATTTCAATTTGAAACCTTTAAATATATATATATTCATGTAAATATTCAATCTGTGTAAATTTAAATAATATGTTAATATTCGTATGTATTTTTCGGAAGTGTCAGGGTCAATCGACCGACAACCAAAATACCGACAAGGTATTTAATTTCACTTTTAATTTAGTTATATTCTTATTTCAAAAATGTATTTCTATAACGTTCTAATCTCCGATAATTCGGTTTGAACCACATCATTGTTTGTATTTATTTTATTAAACAAGATAGATATGTTCCAATTTTCAAAATGTTGAGCAATAAATGACATAAGTTCCCCCTTAAATTATATTTAATTAGTCATTACCATTTATTATAAGACGATTTTCATCATTATTAAATATTATAACTGTACAGTTTTATAAAAAAAATGTATTGTCAACATAGTCAATAATATACATTATGGACAGATTTTTAAAATAAGAATATAGATTGAAAGTGAGATTAAATATCTTGTCGGCATTTTGGTTGTCCGTCGATTGACCCAGAGCCGTATTTTTCACACTACTCCAGCAAGATAAACCACCATTGCAATAGTATAAGCGTACCAGTAATGGCTAAGGTGCAGTCTATACGTAGTCAATGAGTATGAGCCGGCCAATAATTATAATAAATATAATAACGATGTCATACTATTATTAAACAATGTGCGCGCAATGCACTAATTAATTTGTGTTCAAATTTAAACATTTTATTTCTCTAAAATGTTCATATTTGTGTGTTATTTCTTTAAATTGCAATAAATATATTATTATTATTATTATTATTATTATCATCACTAGATTACTTTTAGGTGTCCGTATTTCCAGGTGAAGAACACGACCAGCGGAAGGCATCCGATAATGACCAGCGACAGCACAAGTATAATCGTCCGGAGTACCCAGTTTAATGACGCTATACAGGGACTGGAGTCGATGCACTCGTCGCATCCTTCAGCGCATCGCAAACACTCGAACATGCTGGGTTGGCTGTAGTTGTTTGGTTTTCCCTGTCGGCAAACAACAACAAAAACAGTACACTTTTAATCTGAGCACCGATGAGTGGGTAACGTCGAGAATACGACTGCAACTGTTGTTGTTGTGCCGTACCTACGCCTATACCGCAATAAAGTCAGACGAATAATAACACTGCAAAGGCGCCGAAAACAAAAACATAAAATATGTACATCACTCGTTGTATTTGTCTTCCAGTATGATATTGTGAGAATAAATTTCATTGAACATTTTAAATAATAATAATATAATATAGCGTTATTATTATCTCCAGCGGGCTCGAATTCGTTTTCGTTTTAAATATATTATTATTATGTTCTACGGAAATCACACCCAGTTGACAATTTTGTTAACGTTTCGAAATACAAAATGTATTGTTTAAAACATAGCACTTCCCGGATCTACGTCAGCCAGGACAAAGCGTTCAGATAAATGCTGTTTGTGTTAATTTTGTTGGGTTGGAGAAAATAAAAAACAGAATATTCAAACAATTACTCGATTGGATTTATAGAAGACATTTGATTATCGAAAATTATGAGTAAAATATTATATAATAAAAAACAATGGAAAATTTTCGAATTTAAATGTTTTTTCTGGTGTTCTGTGAATGATTCCTCTTCATGTGACCATGTTTTTGTATATACTTTTCTCTCTATTATCATTATGACTTATCATTTTTATTTCGTAACCAGATTTGAATAAAAAAGTAATTTGCAATTTTATTCAGTTAAAAGTACATCGGCTTGATGACTGATTATTAATAATATACGTGAGTTATATTTATTTTTAGATCATACTTTTTAACTTCATCAGATTTTATTTAAAATGTCACTACTCTTACATTACATGAAAAATGTCAAACATTAAGTATGTAGTTTTCAGTTCAAAAGTGTTCGAATATTTTGACTTCTATGTTTCATTTGACTATTTAATTTTATAGAGCAACATGAAGAAAACAATCAGCATGACTAGAATGTTCATGATAAAATACTATCTATGGCTATCTACAAGATTGCATTATGCCACAACTAATTATTTTATAATTTATTAACATAGTTATTTGTAATTTTTTAAAAATAGAACCATTAAGGATTAACTATATGAAGATTCGTCAATCACTATTGTATTAGAAAGAAGCAATAATACATTTTAAAAAAAAAAAAAAAAGATAATTGATAATATTTGTTCATTAAAAGAACTTATAATAACTAATAACAATTAACAGTATTATTGGTAATTTACTATAGAAACAAAATATCAGAATATTGTACAATTGCATGCGTATTTTTAACCTAAAGTTTAAATTTATTCAAAACCTACGTCAAACTTCAAATCTTTTTAGATAGTTAAAATTAACTTGTATAAGATGATTTACCGAGATTAACAAAGGTTTTTTAAATTCAAAAAAATGAGTTTATAATGAAGTATTTTGTTTCATATTTTGAAATGTATGTAATTATCATAGATAAAAATTATAAAGAAATGAAAGAAAAAAAATCCCTAATGTTTAGAATAATATTGATGAGTAACAATATGATTAATAAATATAATATATATATATACCTATAGATATATTTGAAAAATTGAATGCAACGTTCAATTGACTATTGCATAATATTATTACTTTGTCGTAACAATCAACGGAAATTGAAGTATAAATAAAAATTTACTGTTGAACAATTATTTTATTTTTCAGCTACTGCAGTTTCTATAAAAAGACAAACAAATTACGATAAAGGATTATATAAGTTAATGGAATATTAAATTCTATTTATAACTTAATTTGAAAATACACGTTAAACTTCTTGCATTAGAATCTATTTTAAAAAGGGACAGATAATTTATGTACTGTAAAAAAAAATACGTAATAAAAGTTTAAGTACAACTTTGAAATAATATAAAAAAAATAAAAAAAAACACTCTTGAATCTTGTCAGGTTTTTGAAATATTTTTAACAATCTTTGTCTGAAAGAAAAATATGTACTTCAATTATTTCAATTGTACATAATATAATATCCTAATCAAGTAAACATATTATGTTACATTTATCTGATTTGAAAATTTGAAACTAAGATTGTTTTAGTTAGGCTGTTTTGACAATTGCATTGTACCAACGTCCATCTTGTCAAGGTATTTATATAACTTAATCAAAAAATGTTTTAAATAATTTGTTTATGTCACATCCATTTGATGTTCTGATTCGTCCTGTGAAAAGGATAGAAGTCACATCCATTTCACGAACACTATTTTGTTTTTCGCACATAAACATATGATTACAGAATATATTTATGATTTTTCAAAGCACCGACACATAAATATAGTAGTATATTATTAAGTCAATCAACATGATGGCTATAAGTTATAAATAAATAAAATCCATTAATGCTATTGTATGAAAACAAGTATAAGCATTAAAATTATTGCAGAACTATAAAACGAAATTTATAAATTTAAATAATAAAAGGGGGAAAGTAAGTGACAATTTGATGTGTTAAATTGTAATCCAATTATAAATCATTTCAAGCGAAAAACAATTCTGACAGCGTATTATCTTACAAATGCATTGCTCATGATATTATTGTAGTAATTTTTACTCATAGTAATATGGTGTGTGTAAGCTAGACATATGGAGCATAACATTTATGTTATTTTAAGTAAGGTTATGTAAATTAGAATGCTTAAGAAAATCGATTATACATGAAAATTAAGTACAAATATGGTGCAAGGGTGTTGTAGGGTACTCTGTACTTGATCTGATCTCGAGCGTATTTTAAAGAGTAGAAATAATGTGTGAGTACGGAAAGTTCGGTTCCAAAGGTTTGGGTGGTTTGGCAAAAATGAGTGTCCGTGAATGATTCTGGTGTGTCCTATGCGTAGCCTCATTAAGTTCAGTTTTTTTCCGTCAGTTTGAAAATGGGGTTAGGGCGTTATGTTATTCTTTTAATTTAATTCAGCCCGGTACTTTGTTTATTCTAAATGTGTTGCCATTTATTTTTAACGATTTCTTTGATGCATTGTTTCGAAACGTCATAAGTCATTTGTTTCAGTGTTATTTGAGGCGTTTGAGGAAATGTCCGTCCGTTGTTTTCAGTAGTACTTATGGCAATGATAATTGTATTAAATTCATAACTTTAAAGATTTTGCGGTTCCAGCTGCAGACTATGTTATTTTATTGAGTATAAAAACACTGAGCAACACGTGTGTTTGGTCAGTTAATTTCTTGATTGTTTGGTTTTGAATAAATATTGAACATTGCTTTTCTTAGAGCCCAAATCAAATTTCTCAATATTAATAAAACAAAATAGCGTTTTGCACCGGGGAATCACTACACTAATTTTTGAATATTGATACTGCTCGTTGCAACAATTTAACTGCATTACACAAACAAATAGTTCAATTTTCCGTTTTAAGTTATTTAAAATATGATGGGTATATTTTTTTTATATTAATAAAACGAGTTGATAAATTGCGTTTTATAGTTAGGCAATTATAATTATAATATGTCTATTTTTGTTTTTCCATATTATCTTTATTGAACTATATGTATTAATATCGTATATTCACTTAAAAATAATTAACTAGAATGTATAAATTGCCTTAAAAAAAAAATAGTTTTTACTTTTTAGTTGAAAAGTATTAGAGATTATTATAGTTCTAATATCATTGAATATGTTTTTTTTTTTTTAATACGTATCGTTGTTTCGTTATAATATGTACCTATACAGAGGTTACCTACGGAACATATTATATCCCATTCTACTAAATAGTTAATATCCGCGTCTGCAGTTTCGTGAAGAGTTATCCATATTACATGTAATTACGTGATGTGTGAAAAAATGAAGTTCATTCATGTCGTGAAACATATTAGAGTTTAAAATAGATATGACATAAACATACGACATGCTTTATTATATTACATAATATATAGTGTGTGTACACACGCAATATTTAAGCGAATAATAGTCAACACGTACCTGCATAAGTTTTTCGTATTCCTCTTCAATAATGACTCCGTTGAAATACCTGTGTCCTGGATGCCCTACGTATTTGGGAGCGGGGAAGTAATAACCTCGACGGCACATACACTTGTAACTCCCTCTCCGAAACCCCAAACCCGAAACAGCAACACACTAAAAAAAAAAGGACAAAAACAATTTCTATGAAATAATTTTAAGGTACACGTCACTATTAATACAAAGTGTTCTAGCCGTAATCAATTACCTTTAACTTTTTTTTTAAAGCAGGTAATGGAATACTATTTTTTAATTAATAGTACAATAAACTATATGTACTAACATAACTATTTGTTGTTTTAATAAAAAACAATAATTAGTAATTAATGTAAAAAGTTAAATAATTTTAATTTATTTGAAAAATATGAGGTGTTTTTATATGTTTTTATTGCTTTCATTGTTATGGCTGTGTTTAAAGTCCACTAATGGGATATCGCAGATAGTAGGTAGGAAGTTATCTATAGATATGCATTTCTCGTCGGTATTAAACTGGTAAATATTAGGCAGTTATATTTAAGTATTGTTTTGCTGTGTTGCTTATATGTGGTATGAAATTAAATTATTAAAAAGCATTCATGGTATTTCGAAAAAAAATTTTCAAGCAAATTACATTTTTAACGCTTTTATTTAGAAATATGGAATTTGACCATAGATTCAATCATGAATTGTCCGCACTACCTGCAATGGGTATCTATTATCTATTACCTATTATTACTCACCGTTATATTTTTGCTATATATAACTATTTACGTATTTTCAATTTTTTATTTTATTTTACATCATGAGAATCAGCTAGCTCTGATCTATTGACAATCTTAAAACGTGTTTCTTCTTTGGTTGTACATTACTATCGTTCAAATAAACCTTACGTCTTATTTACTTACGGTTACGTTCTTTTGTAATAGTAATATAGTTATATCAAATAACTGTCGGTAACACTTAATAAAAGGTACCGGTATCGAACTTAATACCCTCAACGCTGTCGCAGTCCATTTCAATATAGGCTATATTTAGTCAAGAATCAATGAGTCACTAATAATTATATAGGATGACCCACGTACCCCACAGTGACACCCGAATTTAAATTATCACCAAGAAATCTTTGATGTGTCCAAAAAATATTTGTAGTCTTAATTAACCAAATTCCAATTTATGCTGTCGTTGACGAAGATATATTTGATACAAAATAATGAACTGAGATTAAATCACCTAATCCAGTTAAACAAATTAATTTCAATTAGTCTTGGGAAATTCTCGAATAAATAAAGGAGCCAAAAAAATAAAAATGGTGTCTCCCAGTGTGTTAATAGAAAGCGTTATGGCAAGGTATCTTGACAGTAATCAAGAAAACAACTTAGAAGCAAAAAATGGTATTATGGGTTAGGTTAGGTCTATAAATAATTATATTTTCTTTTGAAAAACGTACTTAGATCAAAAATTAAATTGTACTGGAAACCCATTTTTTTTTCTGAGATCCATAGAAAGAAGATAATAATTTTATAACACTTTTTCTATAGAAAAAGACAAGTGCAATTAAACCAATTAGCACTGCAAAAATGTAAGTCTTGTCAATTTTATGAAAGTTTTACCACCCTTTTTTTATTTCTAGATTTCATTAAAGAGACATCCATTTTAAGAAGTAGTACATTATGAGGAAAATGTAGTTGCAAGTAAGAAATTTCGGAGAGCTTAATAGAATTTTTATCATAACATATAGGTAAAATCTCTGAAAGTATACCAATTGAAATACAATATATATTTTTCCAGCAACAAAAATTTAAAAAACCACGATTTAAAAAATTTTCAATACAAAAATAATTATTAAAAAATGTTAACACTCCAATTATATATAAAAAAAAAAATATATATATATATATTTACATCCTACACATACATGTAGGTTCAATGTTCATGTTATGTTATCTATCATAATATTTTTTTTATTATTCCATAAACAGAACAGTATTTCCATAACTTGGGTGTTATACTGCTGTTATTATTCAAAAATAATTGAAAAATAAATAATAACATGTTAACACGTATCTTTATCATAACAAGCTGAAACTTTTTGGTCTTCAACATCGAGAATAATATTTTGAATGGATCATGGATCATGTCATCATAAAATCGTCTTGCATCTTTGGGCATACAGAAATATTTTAATAAACTAGCTTCACCATTTTATTTGGATGGTTTTATATAACTTATTCTTGGTATGACTTCTAAATTTCATCAAATAATGTATTATTAGAGTTCCTGTTAAAAGTGTCTATTCAAACAGGTGTATCAGTACAATACTACAATGTGGTGTTATACCAACTGTCTATACCTAACCCTTTTATGTAAGGAAATCCTTTTTGTTCTGTATTATTAAAACCTAAAACTGATTTGTCACGTATTTTCCATGAACTGAAACGTCTTCTTTGTGAACATCATGATACTATGTGATGCTATGCTATATTATGTGGCTGTGTAATACTATATTTTCTTTTTTCCTAAGATATTGTACTATTTAATTAAACGATGAAAACTTGTGTCAATTTGGTATTTTGATCACCTATAATATTATTTAATGGTTTATTAAAGGTTTTATTTAGTTAAGTGTTATATGGTATTTCAATAGAAGTGTTTTGAAAGTAACTTCAACAGATAACACTCAATATATATAATTAATATATTCTATCTAAATGTGAGTATTATAGAGTGAAATTTAAATTGAAATATGTTCATTATTATTTATTTATTCATAAATCTAACTCAATTTATCTATTTCATTTTATTTAAATACCAATTATTATACTTCGGATAGATACTAGTTGTATAACATCACTATTTCAAGCAAATTTTAGTTTAAGAAGGTTGGCAAGAACATACAAACATTATTTTAAGTAGTAAGTACAACGTTCACCTCCTAGAAGGATGCAAAAGTAGAAATTAACACTTCTTTAGGCAATTTTGAAGTGTAAAATTAAATATATACAATAAGAGTGACTAATTTTCGTAAGTATTTAAGAAATTATATAATCATTTAATATTCATTAAATAAAAATAAATTACACTATTTATAATGACTAATGAGTGTATAATATGCTATAATTTTTAAACATAATTAAGTTATAGTGACTTCGACGTGTTCTCAATAATCTTACTATCACACGTTATGTAAAATAATGCAACTCAAATATCTAGTAAATAATCTAACAAAGATTATCAGGCAAACACGTGAAAACTACTTCTAGATACGACGAAACTTCCTTAAATATGAAACAATTGGTTCCACCACTTGATTGATAAGATTTATTTGTACATTTTTTATTTATCAAATAAAAACTAATATTGAAATGTTTGATTATATCATTTTTTTATTGTTATTATTTATATTTTGTTTTGGAAAATGCTATATTTATCGTATGTAGCAGTTGCGTGGACATAAAGTACCTTATGAAATAATGTAAACACACATATCATACCATTAACATGGCATAGCCTGTTCTGAAACAACTTGATTGAAATAACACATTTAAAAAATAATAATTTATGGAAATAGATTTTCATAAAAAAAAGGAATTTAAAACAAATTTTGCATATACAATTATTTATTTTTCGATGAAAATAATGATACCATTGGACTTTTTGCTATTTTTACCATAAGAATCAATGTAAAAGTAAATTTTTTTCAGAAATTTTAACTTTTTTTTGTTTAACTATCTACTTTACATATTAAATTATAGTATTTGTGATTTTTGAATGTTCATAATTGCATTTGAAAATATTTTGAGAAAATAAGTGACTACAATTTATAAAAAGGTGAATAAAAGATGGATTTAAAAAAAAAACATCATTTGGCATGTGGGTAAATACAACATGTTTAAAAGGTCTAACTAATGTCCTATAACATTTTTCAAAAGAAATTCGAGAATCTCAACAGTTCTTACCACTATTGAATTCAGAACCTTTTTGGATAATAAAAGCATAACATTAGCAAACAAATCGTTAGTTATCTATCATTTTTCTACTAATAAGTGCAAACGCAAAATGGTGAAATGACGAAGAACGACTATATGAAACTGAGCCAGTAAACACGCAGAAAAATAAGAAATCGTAAACGTCTAAGGACACACACACACACACACACACCACACAACCAACCATAGTATTATTATTTAGTGCTCCCGCTTTTCGTTAAAAGCATGTGTAGTCGCAAAGCATAGTTGGTCATTTCTAACAATAGTAATATTTTAAGTGTACGACGTTTAACCCATAAACACGAAAAATGCACATTAGGTCCATTAGGTTATTATACTATATTTTATTTTAATTTCGGCGATAAGCATGTTAAAAGTATACCTAATAATTATTAAATAATCGTAAATAATAAAACGTATTTTGTTTAATAATTTACAAAATACTGTTATAAATTAGTACAGACCATATTAACAAATACTCAGTGTTAACCATAATCATCCATTGTTTTTAGTTGGTATTAAGTCAATAAGACCAATATGATCTTATGATTCACAAATGTGACTTTCATTAAAGAATATAATATCAATGATAATGATTTTAAAATTAAGATCATCGATAAATACTAGAATCATAAGATGATGCAACCAACAACAAACGTGATAATTTCTAAAATTATCTTTATCGAATAGTAATATAACATTATGTGTATACCTAATATTATTCTTGTTATTAAATACTACTCTTACTACTGAAATTGAAAATATATTAATGATTGTAAAAAAATATCATGAACTGAACCCAAGAGTCAATACAAATAATTAAAAATTATATATACTCATATTTTTGTATTAAATATTATTTTCTTATACAGCAGTAAAAAAAATGCATTTGATTTAATATGACGAGACTGATAATAAGTTAGTCGAAGACATAAACAAGTTAAGAAACATCACTTTTCGAGCGTCTTAAGTTCCCGGCTTTTAAGTGTATTTTAATATTATACAATGCAATAAACTACAATCCCCCACAAAATTTAACAACATTCATATATTTATACATCTAATTTTTAATATTCGCTATAGTATGAATCTATATCAAATACTCATAGTATGATATTTTAATGATGACTATAAAAAACAAATTTTATGAAA